ATTGTCAGCGTCGAGTCAATCCGCCTGCTTTTGTCTCGAAGATTCCTCTTCTCTTGTATTTCACGTCAGCTTATTTATTGTTTGAAACCAAATCTGATTCCATTATGATGAAGGCGTTTTCGTCTCGATTTGACGCTAAGGCTGTATGTACGTAAGTAATAAAAAAGAAGAAGCTGAAAAGAAAGAAAGGCGGAACATGAAGGTGGGGCAGGGCGTGGAAAAAAACAAATTGAGTCAAATCCCGAGAACAATGAGTGACAAGAAATGTAGTAAAAGAGAAAAAACAAAAATTGTGAAAAAGGTTAAAAGCATAAAGGAAAAGAGAGAATAAATATTAACGACTTAAAAGAAAGAAGAAAATGAAAGAGAAAAGTGAAGAAAGTAAAAGAAAGGACTACATAAAAAATGGGTAATCTTAATGCAAAGAATGAAACAAATAGAGAAAGAAAGAAATAATAGATTGTTCGTAAAAAATGTACTATATTGAGAAGAGACGTATTAGCAGAAGAAAGAAAGTAAAAAAAGAAAGGAAGAAGAAAATGAGGAACTACGTAGAAAGGAAATAAAGAAAGGAAATATTAGATTGGTTGAGAAGAAGCACTCTTTTGATAAGAAACATTTCAAACAGAAAAAAAGAAAGAAAACTAAAAAGGAAGAAAAGTACAAAGAAAGAAATATTAGATTGGACGAAACAGGATATTTTTTTTTAGTAGGAATTTATTAAAAGATAAAAAAAGGAAATATATTGAAATAAAAGAAAAAAACCTATAGAAAGAAAGAAAGAATGAATGAATGAAAGAAAGAAAACCTATGGAAAAAAAGAAAGAAAGAAATCCTATAGAAAGAAAGAAAGAAAGAAAGAAAGAGAGAAAGAACGAATGAATGAATGAAAAAAGGAAAGAAAGAAAACCTATGGAAAAAAGAAAGAAAGAAACCCTATAAAAAGAAAGAAAGAAAGAATGGATGAATGAAAGAAAGAAAGAAAGAAAGAAAGAAAGAAAAACTATAAAAAAGAATGAAAACCTATAGAAAGAAAGAAAGAAAGAAAGAAAGAAAGAAAGAAAGAATGCATGAATGAATGAAAGAAGGAAAACCTATGGAAAAAAGAAAGAAAGAAAAACTATAGAAAAAAGAAAGAAAGAAAACCTATAGAAAGAAAGAAAGAATGAATGAATGAATGTATGAATGAATGGATGAAAGAAAGAAAGAAAGAAAGAAAACCTATAGAGAAAAGAAAGAAAGAAAACCTATAGAAAGAAAGAAAGAAAGAAAGAAAGAAAAACTATAGAAAAAAGAAAGAAAGAAAGAAAACTTATAGAAAGAAAGAAAGAAAGAATGAATGAATGAATGTATGAATGAATGGATGAAAGAAAGAAAAAAGAAAGAAAGAAAACCTGTAGAAAGAAAGAAAGAAAGAAAGAAAAACTATAGAAAAAAGAAAGAAAGAAAACCTATAGAAAGAAAGAATGAATAAATGAATGAATGAAAGAAAAACTATAGAAAAAAAAAATAAAGAAAGAAAACCTATAGAAAGAAAGAAAGAATGAATGAATGAATGTATGAATGAATGGATGAAAGAAAGAAAGAAAGAAAGAAAGAAAAACTATAGAAAAAAGAAAGAAAGAAAACCTATAGAAAGAAAGAAAGGAAAAAGAGACAAAAAACTTTGAATAGAAATAAAATGTTTGAAAAGAAAGAAATAAAGAAAGAATGAAAGCATTACACAAAACGCTCTTTTAAGCAGAAACATTTTAACGGAAAAAAACGCCCAAAAGACAAACTGAACACAAAAAAGAAAATATTAAATTGGATTAAACAGAACACTTCTTTGTGCAGGAACGTATTAACAGAAAAAAAAAAAGAAAGAAATTTAAACAAAAGAAAGAAAAACTATGAAAGAGAAAAAAAAGAAAAAAAATTCAAAAGAAATAAAATGTAAAAGAAAGAATAAGTAAATAAATAAATAAATAAATAAAAAGTATTAAACTCAACGAAACAAAGCGTTCTTTTGAGAAGAAACAGGTTAATAGGAGAAAAGAAATAAAAACAAAAAAAAAAGAAAGAAAATCAGAAAGACAGCCATATTAGATTGGACGAAATAAAGCCCTCCTTTTGGGAAGGAACGTATTAACAGAAACAAGTAAGAAGAAACAAGAAAGAAAGTCAAAAAGAAAAAAAAAAAGACAGAAAGATAGAACAAAAGACAGAATGAAATGTGGTACTACTGACTATTGCCAAGGAAACCATCTATAGAAAATATTTCCGGAATATGAAGGATTCCTTATATCGATGAACCGGAAACCAACTTTTACGGGTTTATATATGTGGGTAGGGAGATATTTTTTTTTTTTATCGAAATAGAAGAAAAAAAAAAAATAAATACTGAAACATTGCTTCGTCGGGCCTTGGTAATATGTTTAGTAACTAAATTACCTAAATAATATTAAGGAGTTTCTGAGCTAGAACAAATCTACTCTGTCTATTGTGGAGCCCAGCACTCGCAATTTGCGACGCTTTTTTAAACTTAGGCTAATTGGTCACCAGAAATATTCATTGTATTTATGTGTACGGTGGACTGGCAAGGTAACTTTCCAATAAGCTAGTTTGCTAAGCGGTTTTCTATTGGTGTAAAATAAAGATATATTCCGCCAATCCAACTCTTGGTTATTTGTTCATGACTTATGTTGAGACGGACCCAGAAGGATATTTTGTCTACCTGTCATATTACCTCGGTAATTTACCAATTTAGATTTCATTACTATGTAGGCAGAACGGGTCAAAGGTTGTCAGCTCGGATCAACCAACACGTATTAGACAACATTCCCAACGTGGAGATGGAAAATTTACATAGTTGACTAATTGTAACAGATTCAGCGATAGCGGGACAATTCATTAAAAATCAGTAGTGTTCCCTGTTTTAAAGCCTAGATATCATTGGAAAGTTTTGGAATCCGTTTATATTAAGTCCTATCAGCCATAGCTCTATACGCAAAAGGAGTATTTAATGGGTTTGAAAGTAGATAGCCTTTAGTGTCATATTTTATTGCATATAGGATTTTTCTTTGGTCCGATATTTTTCCGTCGCTTTAAAATTTTTTAAACTAGATCATTGCCATGATTAGAAAGGATTTATAAATCGGTTTCGCTGTATATTATTAAAGCCAAGTTATATTCCGGGATTACCATTTTACGTAATATAGTTTTTGTTACTCCCTAATAGTAACAAGGATTATCTGAAGATGTTCTTTTTGTGGCTATCGCAATCGAGAACATTTTCAGAAATATTTCTTTCTTGCAAGTTGCCTGACATCATTGGGAGTGCGTAGCTAGCACCTTTACTTGAAACAGTTGATGTACTGTGGAAAATGATGTCTACAAGCTGCGGCATATTATCACTATCAACCGTTCAAAACATATATTGTTACGAAAGGATCTTTCATAATAACAGCAGTAGTAGTAGTAGTAAAGTGCTAAGTAAATGCATTTGTTGATTATACATAATATTTGTACCATGTCGAATTAACTTAATAATGTCGGTTTCAAAAACATCACAATAATTTCGGATATTTCATTTTCAGATTATTTATTCCCTCTTTTCTGAATGTTGCAATTAACTTTAATTTCACGAGTTCTTTTCCTTTCAAAAATGTGGCAAATGGGAACATCAGCAATCCCTGTTGTAGTTGGAGCCCTCGGATTAGTTGGAAAAAATTCCAGTAGGCTCATTGAAGAGATTCCTGGTAGCCCATGCCTTAAAGACATACAAAAAATGTTCTCACAAGTATAGTATAGCCCACACCTTACGAAAGGTTTTATCTGTGTAAAATATGTGTGTGTGTGTGTGTGTGTGTGTGTGTGTGTGTGTGTGTGTGTGTGTGTGTGTGTTTGTGTGTGTGTGTGTGTTTAGTTGGTCAATGGAAAATGACATGAGGCCATTTCTAACCTTAGGTCTCTAGGCGGGAACCGGAAAGAAATGTGTACACACTAGAAATCAAAGAAAATAAAATCTCGATCTATAAAATATGTGTGTGTGTGTGTGTGTGTGTGTGTGTGTGTGTGTGTGTGTGTGTGTGTGTAACGAATGCACGGCCGCAATTTTCGACGGATTTGCACCAAAATTTGCATGCACATGATCCAAGTTAGTGGGAAGGCCAAAGCCGACTTTGCATTTCCCAACTCCCATCGATAGTGGAAATAATCGATTTTTTCTTGCTTCTACGGCAGTTTCCTGTAGTTTGCGGCCATTTTCTACTGGCCAGAGTGAGAGCCGATAGCTGGCTACCATGAATGGGCAGGAAGATTCTATTGGCCAGCGTGAGAGCCAACAGCTGACTGACACGAATGTTAACTAGCATGCTAGCATACAAAAAAAAAATCGATAGCTGCATTCGTCACAAGTGGGAAAAATTTAAATCTGCATGGCACTTTACTCCAATTGGCTCATTCGCTTGCTTGAACTCAACGTTGATTCTGATTCCGCAGAACTGGGTTAGGTGTGAAAAAGTATTTGTTGTTAACATTCTTTTCTCATTCGGTTTTTCCAGTTACGAGTCCTTTTTTTTTAAAGCTGATCGTTTTGTGTTCATTTTGTTTCGTTCTTTTTTCTTAACAGAGTTAATGTTTAGTATAGAGCTTACAAAAAATTCGCAGTGTGAGATAGGCAAGAAGTAAGGCATGTAGCAACATCAGCACGGCAAAGGGCACTCCTTTAAAGCCAAGGAAGGGCAAAAATATTTTAAGTCAAGTGATAGCGATTGCTGTATGAGTCGTACGATTTTTGAATCAAGCACGGGTAACGCCGGGCCATGCTGCTAGTTAATAATAATAACAATAGTCGTAGTAGTAAAAATTAATAGTAGAAGACATGTGCGAACTAAACGCACTTGTTCATTATACATAATATTTATAGCATGTCTAATTAGCATAATAATGTCGGTTTTGAAAAGCATCATAATTATTTCGGATATTTCATTTCAGGTTATTTATTTCCTCTTTTCTGGATGTTGCAATTAAGTTTAATCTCTCTCTCTCTTTCACTCTCTTTCACTCTCTTTCTCTTTCTCTCTTTCTCTCTCACTCTCTCTTTCTCTCTCTCTCTTTGTCTCTCTCTTTCTCTTTTTTCTCTCTCTTTCTCTTTCTCTCTCTCTTTCTCTCTCTTTCTCTCTCTCTTTCTTTCTCTCTCTCTCTCTTTCTCTCTCTCTGTATCTCTTTCTCTATCGCTTTCTCTCTCTTCTCTCTCTTTCTTTCTCTTTTTTCTCTCTCTCTCTCTTTCTCTTTCTCTTTTTTATCTCTTTCTATCTTTCTCTCTTTCTTTTTCTCCCCCTCTCTTTCTCTCTCTCTTTCTCTTTCTCTTTTTTATCTCTTTCTATCTTTCTCTCTTTCTTTTTCTCCCCCTCTCTTTCTCTCTCTCTTTCTCTCTCTCTTCCTCTCTCTCTTTCTCTTTTTCTCTCTCTCTCTCTCTTCCTCTCTCTCTTTATCTCTCTCTCTCTCTCTGTCTTTCTGGTAATCGTAGAAAAATTATGTCAACAAGTTCTTTTCCTTTCAAGTAAAGAAAAAAATATGATTGATTCCGGGCATCTAATACGTTTTTCATGATTTCCAAAGTGTCTTTGAAAATTCCTTATACCTGCAATAAAAACATTTGTGCCATTAGTTCTATGAAGACCATTGCCGCTCTGATGAAAATATATGGTTCCTTCCAACATTTAACTGTTGCTCTAATATTGCTGCAATAAAAATATTCAACACGTAAAAACTGTGACGACAGATATTCAGCGATATGAAATTACCTTTTTATAATACGCAATATATTTATTTACTGGGATAAATTTTAACACCTTTCTTTATTTCCGAGATGAGTTACTCTATTTACATTATTGACATTGTTTGGACTGTTGTTCTCATCTTTATTGTCATATTCACGACGTTTCAGTCGTGCACGCTCCGGCCTTCTTCAGGATCTGTCTATATTTCTGAGATGAGGGATCGTAACTATTTACACTGTTTACATTGTTCGGTCTGTTGTATTCGTTCCAATATTCACGACGTTTCGGTCGTTATACGTTCAGGCCTTCTTCATGATCTCTCTCTAGTTCCGACATGAGTTACTGTAACTATTTACAATATTTACATTGTTCGGACTGTTGTCCTCGTCTTTATTGTCATATTCACTACGTTTCGGACGATGTACACTTCGGCCTTCTTCAGGGTCTGTCTATAGTTCCGACATGAGTTCCTGTAACTATTTACACAATTTACATTGTTTGTACTGTTATCCTCATCTTTGTCATATTCACGGCGTTTCATCCGTGGCATGCTCCGGCCTTCTTCCGGGGACTTTTGTCAAAGGGTTCTGAGTTTAATACCTGGCCACATCCGAGGTGAACAAAAGTTGGGTTACTAGCTGAAACTGAGACATCTAGAGATATCATGGCACATTGAACTAGAACAATTTACGCCGGGGGATGAAATATAGGGGTCGGTTCGAAAATCCAACGGATATCACCTGAAGAAGGCGAGAGGGTACAACGACCGAAACATCGTGAATATTGCAACGAATACAACAGACCGAACAATGTAAACAGTGTAAATAGTTATGATCCCTCATCTCAGAAATATAGACAGATCCTGAAGAAGGCCGAAACGTCATGAATATGACAATGAAGATAAGGACAAGAGTTCGAACGTTATAAATAATTTAAATAGTTACAATACCACTTCGCAGAAATGTAGACAGGTCCTGAAGAATGTCGGAGCTTACAACGACCTAAACGTCCTGAATATGATCATGAAGATGAGGACAATATGCCAAATAATGTAAATAGTTACCTCATCTCAGAAATAATGACAGATCCTGAAGAAGGCCGGAGCGTACAACGGCCAAAAGGTCGAGTATGTTACTATAACGATGAGGACAAGAGTCTGAACGATCTAAATAGGATAAAATATTAGATATTTTATTTGTGAAATATATACGCTTATTTGTAAAGAACTTGATGCTTAATTTTTGTTCTTAGACAAAATATTAAAAATTATTTTTATATATAATGGTGGGATTTACGGATACTGGTAAATAATGAGATCGTAACCAGAAAAAAAATGACGTAATCTATGGAATTGCGTATTATCCAGGAGAAATATCAGTCCTGCTTCAGTCAATTTGTCCGCCATGATTCTAAGTATTTATCAGCATAGATAAGAAGAAAACTATTCTGACTTAGATGAATGAAATATGACCATCCCAGACTCCGTTTTCTTTCTTCTTTAGAAATTTGACTACGTTTCTCACAGAAAATGCTTAGTAAATGTTAAAGTAAAAGAAGTAAAAGAGAAATGGTAAGGATGAAAGAAAAAAAAATCTCTTACATTTTACGGTAAATGAATGAAAGATAAGTATAACGAGAAAAGAAGGTAACACAATCTCGTGCACAATGAGAATCTCGTTAGAAAGGACAATGAAACAAAACAAAAAGGAAATACTGACAAAGAACAACAGGCTTAACAGGGGAGAACGTAATTTTTAGGACGAGAAGACAGTAAAACATATTATTTAAAAAAAAAAAACATCTTGTTAAATAATCTGAAGCTATTTATGCAAAAATACATTGTCGATCACGTAAACTATCAGACATTTACGCAAAAATGATTTGTTTAAATAATGAAGATAACGTATAAAGAAAAAAAGAGTATACAGTTTAAGAAGTGAATGACAGACAAGCGCTAAATAAGAAAGGAAGAAAGAAAAGAGATAAAAGTAATGGCTGATGATAAATGATCGATATCTATTGAGAAGCTATTAGCAGTCAAAAAAATGAAGAAAGGCTGGTAGCAATTCGAAACAAAAATAAAGACTTGTAAGGCAAAAATAAGGCAATTTTTTTTTAAAAAGAACCATTAAAGGTATAGATGAAGAATAAAGTCGAGAGATTAAAAGGGAATGATGACAAAGAATAAAGTATAAAAACAGGAAGGAGAAATCAGACTCTAAAGAAAGAATAAACTCTAGAAGACGGATAAGAATCCGAAATGCCAAATAAACGAGGAAAAGAACGAACCAAAGAATTTGCTAAAATTTTGGACCAAAAGAAAACTAGGAAGAATGTTTAAAAGAGGAACGAAAATTTGAAGAATAGAAAACATTAACGAACCAAGAATCTGAGTTATAAAAAAAAGACTCTAAAAATTTAAAAGTTTTAGACTGTAAAAACAAAAGCAAGAAAAAAGCTCATAATCTTAAAGAGGTCGGAACTGTCTCTGAAAAAGAAATAAGTGAATATCAAATATATATATATATATATATATATATATATATATATATATATATATATATATATATATATATATTAGTGTATAAAAAAGAAAATTAATGAAGAGTTTGAAATAATGGAGAAGGAGGAACACGAAAGACGAAAAACAAAAAATAGAGAAAAAATTTTAAAAAAAATTATGTCTGTTTGACAAAAAAATGTAGACATCTTCATCCGTTATCTACGGGAAACCAAATCATTAACAGCGAACCTAATGCAGAAATACACGCAAAAAGCATTAGCTTAAAAAATGACCGTGAAAGATATAAAATGACACACTGGGAAACATAGAAAAAATGTGTACCTAATACTTTTGCTTTTAAAAATAATGCATCTTTTCGCTTCCATGTATTTACCGTTCTTTTCAACGCTCTCTCTCTCACTTTCACACACCCAAACACACACCCAAAACACACACACACACACACACACACACACACACACACACACACATATATATATATATATATATAATTGGTGTGTCTAGGAAGTAAATGTTCATTAAAACAAGTAATGTTATATATATTATATTTGTTGATCGATTTTTTCTTCAGCGGATAAATTTCCTTGTTTTGATATTATTGTGAGACCGTAACATACCTACAACATGGACTCTTCTAGGACTATATAAAGTATGCAACATAACACTCAAGAGAGAAGAAGAAGAAGAGGAGGAGGAGGAGGAGGGAGAGTATTCTAATACCGTAGTATCAGCCGCCTACGACTACCAGTATTGGACACTAGCACATAGTAAGCTCCGCTTATACTTACACTATCTTTGTAACCTTTTTGTTTAATATATCTTTCTCACCTCTAATCCGTGTTCCATGTTTTCATTCTGTGGTCCTGACTTTGGGCCCACATCAGATATTAAATCGTATATGTAACGTATATATATATATATATATATATATATATATATATATATATATATATATATATATATATATATATATATATCAAATATATGGTGCAGTTCAATTTATATTACATGAATCATTCAGGGGTTACAATATTCATCTAGAGGTTCGTGGGTTAATGTAATTTTAATAAATATGTTTGCGAAGATGTATTCTCGCCATTTATATCATTAATTTCACTAATCTGTTTTTGTATGAATGATTCATGTAATATATATATATATATATACACAAGACTTGTAGCCACATAAATAGAACATAGATTTAAAAAAGATAGACGTCATTTTATATCTTAAGATCATTTCAATCAACATTTTTTAAAAGCAATCATTGGCGAAATACAAAAACAAACAAGACAGCAATTATAACGAAACAAGGAATGTTGGAACGCGATTAAAATAAAATAAATTTTAATTTAATATATATATATATATATATATATATATATATATATATATATATATATATATATATATATATGTATGTATATATATAAAAATAAGTTTTCGTGGTACAGAATTTAATAATAGATAGGAAAAGACAATATTTATAAGGCATTTTTTAAAAGCAAAAGTAAAAAATAAAAACAACCAGTTTCGTCCCAGGACTTATCAAGTTTATTTATTCTGGGAATTTAAAAAGCGTGTAAATTAATTTTTAACTAAAATTTTCCACACATTTCCTTCTATTTATTAAATGTTCAGCAATGGCAGAATCAGAACTGTTAGTCAATTGGCTATTCCTTGAGGACGGATTCAAAATACTGGTGAGGAAATGCTGTTTTATTCTCGAATCGGTTGTTTTTATTTTAGCTTTTGCTTTTTAAAATGCCTTATAAATATTGTCTTTTCCTATCTATTATATATATATATATATATATATATATATATATATATATATATATATATATATATGATAAAATATAGTTTTAAGGTATGCCATATTTATGGGTTAAAGTGTTCAATATCAGAGATAGAGCGTATATAAATATAAAAGTGGATATTGAAGTCAGCACCCAGGGATGGCAGTCTGTTTAATGCTAAACGTTGTGAGGTGATATGCATCGCGTTTTTGCTCGACTTTTTCCCTGTTTTTATTTTTGGGGATACTTTGAGTGGGCGCAAAGTTCATTTCTTAAACAGGATATTCGTGAATTTTAGTATACCGGTCTGAATATTCGAGAAATTTTATTAAAACTCCGGCATGATTCAAACTTTTTGCATGTCGAATCTAACGACGGTTGCCCTCTGTCCAAGGCGACGTAGGATCGAATCCTTGAAATCAACAGATATGAAAATTTCGATGAATTTAATACAAGAAAGA